AATAACAGCTTCAGTAGATACAACCTTGTATATAAGCACAAATTTTTATTAAACTAATGATTTCAATCACCAAAACTGAATTAAATGTAACCATATATAATCTAAAACAGTGATTCCCAACCCGGGGAATCACTCTTTTAGATTATATATGGTTTTGTATTCGGTACCCCTAAACAACCTATCGCGTACCCCCGGGGGTATGCGATAGGTAGTTTAGGGGTACAGAAAAAAGTTACTTATTATGGCAGAAAAAATAATATATTATGTATCACAAATTAATAGTATTAAAAAATTATTAGTTAAAATTTGTTCCTTGCAACAATCACAAACTTTATTATACATTTCAAAATGCAAAAATAGAAATAAAAACTTATGCTATCGATTGTACAATGCAACAGATCAATAAATGTTGAGCAGTCTGTCAATGGTAGTGGGGATACCATTGTGTGATTAGTGATTATGCTACGGACTTTTGATGGTGGGGTGTGTTACCATTATTATTATTATTATCTCTCAACAATATCCCCATGTGTTGTTTGAAAAAGTATTCTTTTGTTTATAAAAAGTATTTTTTATTGTTAACAAGGAAAAGGACATAGCTAGTTTCTCCAGATTTTCTCTACAAGCTGTAATTTTTTTCATTATTTATTCAGTAATTTTATTAATTTTTTATTGACAAGACATAGACTTGTCAATAAAAAATGTCTTGTTTATAAAATTGTACTGCTACTTACAAGACTATGTCTTGTTTATAAAATCATACTGCCTACTGTGTTACCAACTTAGAGGTATGAAGGAGTACATGTCAGAAGTTGCAATTTAGCACAGAGTATTAGGTGCCCAAATCATGCACGCATAAAAAAAACTAGATTTATAGGCCCTCGGGGGACCGAGAACAGAGTCAAAATAAAATTTAAAATGCCGACGCTCTCTACAAACAGACAGTGTGAGATTTGCACATGCATTGCTCATTGGGAAGTTGGAAATGCCACAGGGGTATGCTAATGAAAAAAGGTTGGGAACCACTGATCTAAAAGACAATGCAAATTTTTTTTTATTTCTCATGATTTCAATATTTTTTTAATACTATTATATTCTGCAAAAGAGTTTGTCATGATAAATAAAACATCTTTTAGTTTAACTTATGGATACAAATTCACTGAGTTCAGCGTTAATAAAGTTTCTTTAGTATTAACACAAGCACTTTTGACGAATGTATAATTGTCGTCTTCAGGTGAAAAGAATAAATTTTAACAAGACAAACGTGCAGGATGTTCCAAAGGAACAAAATATTTAAATTCAAACAGGCGTTCGGAAATTCCGTTAAGAACGTGCAAATAATTTTTTGATATGTTCGAATTTTTATATTTTACGATGTTAGCGGCGCATGCGTGGAAATGCTACCATGTTGGCGATACGATGTTAGGCGCGTTTTGCTTTTTAGGCGCCAATATAAAGCAATCCACACCCCGGGTAGATCGAGGGTGGGAACATTGCATGCTTCTGAAGTAGCCGTGAGAAGCGCTTCTCAGATAAACACAAGCCTTTGATTGTTGCAGCATTTAATTATTTCCGTTCTGGGCCATAACGGGTTGTAGCCTTGCTCGAGAACTTTTTTAGCGAGCTCAGTAGAACATCTTCCTTTGGCTACATCATCCTGATGCTCAGCAAAGCGGGAGGCGAGCATTCTTGTTGTTGCTCCTATGTACCTTGTAATATTTCCCGTTACCGAATTTTCTAGGTGTATCTTGTAAACCCCTGACTTTTCTAAAGTGGTTAGCCTGTCCCGGTTGTTGTAGATACATCTGCGCAGGTTTGGTAGGGGAGTTATGGGTAGTATGAAATTATGTCGTCGAAATATGCGGCTGATGTGTATAGAGATTGGTCCAAGATACGGCAATAATGATTGGATCACGGATGCTTTTTCCTTTCTGTACAGCGTGGTACATGGGTATAGGGCCTCTTTTACTTTACGGAGCACATGCTCGTATTTGCCATATGTAAATCCTGCAAGAGATAACGCTACTCTAATGATGTCTAATTCCATTTTTGTTGCTAGCTGTGTCGATGGAAGCAATAATGCTCTTCTAACCAGTGCAGCAATGGTGGCATTGATGTACCGCGACGGTTGGAAAGCATCTGCCGGGATAATATACGGTAACATATCAGATTTGTGGTGAACAGCAAATTGCGGCCCCTCAACCGACATCAGTCAGCACTTCAGTTTACACTTGGATGATGTCTTATGTACAATACACAAAACAAGTCCCAGCTCTACAGCCCTGCTGATGAGCTGTGTGGGTACTACTATACACAGGATAGGGGTGGATAAGAAATCATTGATAAAGACATACTGTCTTTACACTGAAAGTTCTTTATTATGTTCAAATTATACAAATGTCAGTGCAAACAAGTATATACAAATTTTAGTTCATTTTAAACATCACTGGTGGTCCAAGTTGATTAATAAACAAAAATACTGCGTAATATTTAACTAAATATTTATTTATAAATACTGATCAGAACTAAGTGAATTAATTATGTATTAATTATTTTTTTAAATGTATGTATTATAATAGGATATATAATAACATATGTATAGTAATGTAGCCAGCACTAGTCATCAGAAGTATTTCAGCAGTTGTTAATTGTCAAAGCTTGCAAATATCACTTGATGGATACATCAGTTATATGTATGACTGTACAAATACTGTAAATCTCACCAATAGTTAAAATATACTGTACTCGTCAGACGTATTCCACTAATAGGTGAATGTGAACTCATTCAAACATCACTTGAGAATGCATTTGTTACACAAGTAATTGTAATCAATCACGTTTTTACTTTGAATAATTTCAATTGTATTTATCCTTATTTTTTAAAGTATTGTATAATTTTTAGATGTAATACTGAAGAGGAATCACTAAGATGGTGTGATTCGAAATTAATTTATATTAGAGAGAGAATAATAATAAATGTGTCAAATGCTAGCTTAGTTACTTGGTTTGTTGCAGTTCTAGACAATTGAAATTTGGAAAAGAGCTGTACCAAAATCACTTGGTTTATGAATTAAGAAAGAAGTGACAGAATAAGCATACGAAATGAAATTTGATGTAATACGTTTATTGATTTTTGATCATTAATATTTTTTACATAAGTTTAACTTAACAAGTAAATTGCACTATAAACCTATTGTCTAGTGTCAGAAACACCAGACAATAGGTTTATAGTGCAATTTATTTGGCATTTGGTGTAATGTGTTCTTTTTTGTTTAACTTAACTGAAAATAATGTCAAGTTCCATTTCAATTTCTGATTCAGCTGCAAAACCTGGTATCAGACAGGCCTTATCTATCTGTATCAGCCCAAAAGTATTGAGTAAAAAAGTACTTGGTATCAAAAAAGTATCAGTATCAACTATTGTAGGAGTAAGCAAGTCAATTCAACTCTCAGATTTTTTAGCCAAGAGCAATTTCTGGTATTCTATTTAATATGTTATTACTCATTTTTGCAGTTGATTCTGATCATCAAAAAGATTCCTCATCATGAATAATTTTACATGGACTCATAAGTATAAGCAATTACAAATTATTGCTTATATATGCTTACCTAGTCTATATAACAAAGTATGTATGGTAACTTTACATTAGTACTTAAATGTCACCCAAAATCAAGTTTGCCAAGTATCAGTACAGTTAAATATTTTTTTGTGCACTAGCAGTTAAGAAACAGTGGTCTAGAACAAGCCATAGTTTTGAGTTTATTAATTCATTGTAATAATAAATTTCTAGGGAACAGTTGATGCTAGAAAAGATTAAGTAGTCTATTTTTACTCTCTCAACTCTGCCATATTTTCCTTCTGTTACATATAACAATCAGTCAAAAATTGACCCCCATTTTTGGACTCGCAACCTTGAAACATTCAGAAATGCAAAAAAATTCAAGGTTTTTTTCTGTATAGATGGATTTTTATGTTTGGGGCGGAGGAACAATTTTGTTCACCCACTTTAAAGCTTAATAACTTCTGTGCTTTTCATCAAAAATTTCTGAAATTTTGCACTGAGGTTTGTATATTAGGGAGATAGATGCTATTGAATTTTGATGGTTGGAGATAGAGGGGGTCGTGTGCCATATTTCAAGTAGAGTTGGACTTAATGACAATTCTACTCGTTATTAGCATTTACAATTTTTTATAAAACTTGTCCCTACCCTCAAATTTAAGCTTTTTGAAATTTTATTATAATTAAAAACATAAAAAGTTTTTAAAATAAAAACTTTTTGTGTTTTTAATAACAGATGACACCACACATAATTTGAAATGTTGCCAGAAAAGTTAAACAACTTGTTGCCGGATTTTTTTAATCAAGATTTTTTGGGATTACACATCCCATAGTCAGAATCCTTGCAAAAAATGGAACATGAGTGTTGGCACTGCATTCCAATGTTTCTTTTTTCAGTTGTTTGGAAAATTCAAAAGTTATTTTGAGTTCATCAAAGCCAAATGATTACTGTAATAAATGAATCAGACTATTTTCTGCCACTATTAATAATTAAATTCTAAGTAATTTGATATGTTAGTTACTAAGTAATTTATTACAGCAATTGTTTTGTTTGGTTTTAATTAATAACATAGAGCTTTGAGCTGCTTATTTAGATATTTTGAGTTGCATATCATATTGTAAAAGTTTTTGAACATTTGAAATTTTAAACATTCATTCAGGAGTAATGTGACATAACAGAAATAATATTAACTTCAAATAGAGGAGCAAGTAATTCACATAAAATGTAGAAATTTGCAGTTAGATGAGTATACATACAATTGGCATAAACAATAAAAAAAATTAAATGTTTTTCAGGATGTGAAATTCCACAAAACAACTGCAATAGATTAAAAATTTAGAATCAATTGTTTCTAGCATCAAATGTTCTTTAGTTTTTCACAAAATGTGTAAATGCTTAGTAAATTTCAATTTAATGGAGGAATTTTATGATTTTTACAGTACCGAAACCAGAAAACAAAAATATGGAAATACTCCCGGTATTTTATGGAAGAAGATATTCACCAGAATAGCTCTTTCTGTTGGAATAATGCTACTGGTATATTTTTCATCTCAAAACTCTGAAAAATCATTTGCTTTACAGTCGGAAACTGTTAAGGAAAAATTACTTGAAGTTCCTTGTTCTAAAAAATATAAAAAGGAAATTCTTAAGTACAAAGGTAAGGGTACATTTGTTTTAATATATTAGGTTGTTTGGAAAGTAAGTTCAGTTTTTTTTACCACTAGAGAGATCAGTCGTATTTTTCCCGCCATTTTCATTCTAAACCGTATTATCATTATATATTTTGACAGCTAGCATTTTAAGACTTATTTGTAAAAAATTTTATTTCATTTCATGCAATTGTTTATTTTTTGTGTCCCATCAAATATGGAATATCGAAAGCATCATTTTTGGCATATTTTGTTCTTTTATTACCAAAAAATCAAAATGCTGTTCAAGCAAGAAAAAAATTGTGATACATGTATGAAGATGATGTGTTGAGAAAAAGACAGTGCCAAAACTGGTTTACAAAATTTCGTTCTGGCAATTTCAATATTGAAGATGCACCACGTTCTGGATGGCCACTTGAAACCAATGAAAACAAAATAAAAGTACTGATTGAAGCAAACTGCCGAATAAAAACACGTGAAATCACTGAGATTAAATTTGTCAAATTGAACTGTTTATGATTATTTGAAACAAATTGGTTTCATTTCAAAGCTTAATATATGGGTTTCACATGTTCTTAAAGATAGATGCTCTCTTTGGTGGGATTTTAACAAAATTTTTGTTTTTTTGCAGCTTTTACCAGACAATTTAACAATTGATTCAAAAGTGTACTGCCATCAAGTAAACAAATTGAGTAATATCATCAAACAGAAAAGGCCAGAATTGATCAGCAAAACGGGTGTAGTGTTTTACCACGATAATGTCAAATTTCACACAAGTTTGGTAACTGGTCAGAAACTGTTATAACTTATGTGGGATGTACTATCACACCAACCATATTTGCCAGATTGAGCACCCTCAGATTATAACTTGTTCCGGTCTATACAAATTTTTTTAACTGTAAGACATTTACTTGAAATGACAATGTCAAAAATCACTTGGATCAGTTTTTTGTAAGCAACGATCAAAACTTTTATGAATGTGAAATCATGCTATTACCAGAAACGATGACAACAGGTATTTGACCAAAATGGTCGATATATAATTCAATAAAATATTTATTTATTATGAAAATATTGTGTTTTTTTCTGTGGAAAAAAAACAAACTTACTTTCCGAACAACTCGATATAACTCAAATTATGGTTTGTAATCTAAGAAATCATTAAGCATTAATTACTGAACAATTTAAACGATAAAGCATTTACTTTTGTGTTGTTTTAATGATTTACATCAGGGGTTGGCAACACAGCACCCGTGGTGCATTTCAGATGTGCCCTCTAGAATCATAGTCATGCAAGGGGGATTTAAAACTGATCTAAATCTAAAATAGAAAATTGTCATAGAGATCAATGTGAACCAATAGCAGTCAGAAACTTGATTGACATATAGTGTACAACCAGCTTGCAACTGACGATTGGCCCGTAGATCAAATTTAAAAATTCCAGCTTTGTTATGATGTTGGCTTTACCAAGTTGTACTTATTTGTAAAAAAATTACATTTAGTGTTGATGCTGTTGCTTTAAACTTCATCACAGACAAAACACTTTCTGAGCTCCATTTTATACTCCTCTTAAATATATATATTTTAGAATGGAGAGTGATGAGGTTATTGCGAAATACATAATTACTACCAGAGCACAGTAATTATGTATTTCACAAAAATTTTTGTATTGTTATCAGTAACTCAAGCATATTTTGTACAGCATTATTAGATTTCAACATGTTCAATGTTAATGATATGGCAGGTAACTTAGTGTAATTTACTTTTGTATGTGAAGATTATTGACTTCATATTTTATTTATTTATGAAATAAATTATAATATGCTGTATTCTAACATCATATATAGTAAACTCTAAATTATCCTTGATTTCATTAATGAGGATGCCAAAAATATAGATGAATCATTAAGTTATTACAAGGAGTTTTATGATCCATCCAGTTTAAAGACAATTGGCCAGAGAGGGAAAGGAAAATGATATAATACATATGTTTATTATGTAGTGTATGTGTTTGTACATCTCTACTTTTATTTTTGTCTATTTTTAGCTATCTTGCATTTCAGCATCTTATTTTCAACTTAATTATCTTACTTATACTTGGTATAATAATTTAATATAACTTAAACGATATAAATTGGAAATACAGTGGAACCTCGGTATACGACCTTAATCCATTCCTGATGTTTGGACTTATACCGAATAGGAAAATTTACTAATATACCTTATCTTGCAGCCGAAGGTTATAAGAAAAATTTCTAACGAAAACGTTAATTTCTAAAATAAAAATTTTAAAATTTCTAAAATAAAAATTTCTAACGTTTTTAACAAGACTGAAAACGTTAGAAATTTTTCTTATAAACTTCGGCTGCAAGATAAGGTGTATTAATAAGTTTTCTGATATTATAGTATGCAATCTCGAATGATTTATACTGAATAGGACGTATACCGAACCAACCTTTCCCATGAGAAGTAATGTAAAGATGATTAATCCGTTCTCATGTAAAAAAAATGGCTGGCTTGCTTTCTTGTCTAGTTCCTGCTTGATTTTTCATGAAATCAGCATGTATCTTTTTAGCTTTCTCGCAAACAATTGCTCCTGATACGCTGTTGCCAGCACACTGTTTTTCAGTTATCCAAAGCAAAAGCAATTTCTCAACACGATCTAATGTCTTCGATCTCTGTTTAGAAATTGATTTAACCTCTTTCGCAACATTAGCAGATTTAATAATGTCTTTATTTTTCACGATTGTCGATATCGTCGTTCTCGGAATACGGTATGCAACAGTTAAAATCTCGAACACGCATGTCACCTTCGTATTTCTCAACAATCTCTTTTTTCAGTTCCATTGTGATTCTAGTCATTTTTTTAGTTTTCTGTTGCTTTTCATTTGCCTTTTTGCAATTCATGATTAATAAAAATAATAAATTTTAATTACAAATTAAAATCAGAAGAAATTTAACAAAGTTATAAATTGTGGCACCGCGAACGTCTAGTCTGGTCTGGTACACCGATAGTGCTATTTGTTCATAGATGGCGCATATAATTGAATTAAGTTGTATACCGAACAAAAGTTGTATACCGAGCAAAATTTGTTTCGTCCAAACAGGACATATTCTGAATTTGACGTATTCTACAGCAGACATATATCGAGATACCACTATATTAATGTGAAAATTGCTATATTTAGAAAATAAACATTTATTTATTTACTTTAATATTTTAAAACAGGTTGTGCACCCCAGCTATGTGGTCGCTTAGTAACAGATGATCTTATTCTACCTCAAGAAAGTGCTCAATTATTACAGTAAGTATTAAGCTGTTTTAAAATACTAAAATTACTAAATGACATAATTTCCATAATTTTTCATGACACTTATTTTTCTAGAATAGTTTAAGAATGTTAGATAATTCCCAACAGCTATAAACAAAGGATTATGACATTTACATTTTATTATTTTTCTTAATACAGTAGAGCGTCAATTATCCGAATCAATTGGGGACTGTGGTTGTTCGGAAGATCGATGTTTTGGGTAACAGATTATGTACGGAAATATATATTAATTTATCCCATCTTGACATTTTTCTCCATTGCGTGTTGCTTCACGTTGAATTTTCGTCGATGTTAAGCCTAACGAAGACTATTGTATTGTTAAAAATTATTCTTTTATTTTATACGAACAAACTGAATATATTGAAAAATATAAAAACAATAAAAAATTATACTTCAGAAGTTAATTTAGTATCAAAAACGTAAAATATTTGAGTAGCCCAAGACATAGCCAAAGATTGCAGTGCCACAGCACTGGCAAAAATTTAAATTTGCCAACTGGAATTCTTTCTCATGATTGACTTTTGGATAATCAATGCTCTACTGTATTCTTTTTCAAACTCTTATTGCATTATTACTTCTTTGTTCTCATTAATTTAATTTGTCTCATCCATGCAAAACATCCATTTTTAAGTTAAATTGGATAAAAAATCAAAAAACTAGAATATGATTTCTTTGGCTGTATCATGTAAATTACACACTCCACTATTTGTGCCATGGGTTAGAATTGACTCTAGCAGAGTCTAATACGTGGCTTTTATTACCTGTTAGATCGTCAAATTTCAGAAATGAATTTTTGACTATAAAGTCATGCCATGACTTGGATCTTGTTTCTGTACTTACCTTTGTCTTTCAAAATATGTGGAGAAACGCTTGACAATTTTTTTTAAATGATATATAATCAGAAACTGAAAACATTAATTTATTTAATGCATTTTTTATGGGACTATTAACATTAACGTTATTTATTAATACTTACTTTAATAAAAAATTATTTATGCATTGATAAAATTTGAAATGATTTTGTATTAATCCAAATGTTCAGTAAAATCTCAGGTTTCAGACTTGATTTGTTCTAAAACAAAATAAATTTTCCCATAAGAAACAATACAGAATGGATTAATCTGTTCCTGATCCCCAAAACAAACTTTTTTTACCTTTTTAGCTGTATTTCATTTATAAAAATGCCTAAAAAAGCAATATAATATATTATCATATATACTGTATATCTATATTTATTCTCTACTTGGATGAAATATAACCAAATCAATCAAGATAGAATAGTACTTTATCCACACGCTCTGAAGTGTTATGTTTCAATTGATTTGATTTCAATTTTTAATTTAAATTAATTAATTTTGATTTTATTTTTAATTTTTGTTTCTGTGTAAAGGCCAGAGTTTTAATTATTATTTTGTTACTTTTAGTTTTAATTAACTGGCTACCTAATAATAAATATTAATATTGTTAATAAATTTTTGCAATTTAATTTAACTTAATCACATTTAAGACTTCTTGAATGCGATTTGTATTACATTAATGTCAATTAACATTGTTTTTATTAATTAATTTGATTTAAATTCAGCTGAGGCTTATACCAAAAACCAGAAATAGCATCTTTTTCACATGTGCATTGAAATGTAAATTTAACTTGCTGTTACTTGAGGATGAGCTCTGTGCTCACCTTTCATTTTCAAACGCTTTTAACTTAGGCTTTTTTGAAGTTTTGTGGCCAAATTCTCATTTACCTTCCTTCCTGAGTATCCCTGTTAACAAGATACTGGAATTGGAAATAATAGTCATTCCTAACAGTTTCAGTGCTGCCTTTGTTTTAGTCATGTTTGACAGGTTAACACAGCACACACCCTAGGAAGATAAGGAATCCTACATTTATCCTCTTTTTTATATTCATCAATAAAAATCCTATCACCAATCCTCATAATCATCTCTCTTCACGCAAATAATCCCATATTTTTTTTTTTTTTTCTTTTTCGCATTTGAAGTGGTATGATTCTAATTGAAAAGTGATACTGTATGTACCTAATATCAAAAAACATAATGAAATGTTACTGTAAGGCTTGATAAGGAATCTGAGGAAGATAATGTAGGTTCTTTCCTTGCAAACAGTGAGTGAGGACCTCCATATGAACTCCTGGAAGTGTTGAGAAAGAAACCAGATCCTCCACAGGCAAACATCTGTATGAAGAGAAAAGTGAGCCTATCGTTCAAAAAACGAGTAGGAAAACAGCATCCAAGAGTGTAAAATGTAGCCTTCTGTGCTGATCTGCAGATACCACATAATAACAATCTGCAAACAATGCCATTTTAAAAATCCAAACTAAACAGATTCAGAACTTGAATAGAAATTGTGACATGAGGCAATCTTGGTGCCACTAATTTTTGAATCAGTAGTCCTGTTGTTGAATGATCAGGCTGTCAATGTTCTTTAACATAGGAAGTTGACCGTCAATGATCGGCTCTGCCAAGTAACTTGTTTGGCAACCAAAGTTATCATAAGGTAATCAGGACAAAAATGAGTTCAAAATTTTGTTTGTAAACCAAGTTGTTCAAAAAACAAGGCATTCAAAACTTGAGGGTTTGACTATATTTCAAATTTGATCCATTTAGTTTTAACAAAATAAAATTTGAGCAAATTAATTTAGTTCAGTATTTTAATCTATATATATAAAATTACTTGGACTGACTGACTGAGTCACTGATTCATCATCACTCAGAGCAAACCGCTGAACCTAAACAGGTGAAATTTGGTACACAGTTAGGATACGTCATGGAAACGCACATGAAGAAGGGATTTTCCCCATCGGGGGGAGAGCATTAAGGCTAAACCGGAAGAACGGTTTCTACTGTAATATTTTAGATGCAATTTTTTGTTTTTAACTGTGTTTTAGTAGGGTACGCCATGGGAATGCACACTAAGAAGGGATTTGTCGAAATTCCCCAGTGGGGGAGAACATTTCATTTCAGACATTGTTATAAATATTTTTATATATTTCGATTTTTTAACCAAATATTCGAACCGTTTTAAATTTGAATTTCTTTCTGCTTATTGGTTCGATTATAGAACGATTGTACACGTTTCAGAAAATATATCAAATTGAAAACAGTTCATTTGATTCTGAGCAATTCTCATCATTCTTAGTGGTTGGTGTTATATAACAATTACTATGGTTGTTGAAATACTGAATATAAATAGGGTTTGCTTGCAAAACCTCTGCGGGCAAAGTCGCGGGTAACAGCTAGTATTACATATAATAACAGAATTAATTAAAAGTATATAATATTTCCATTTTCACATTCAGTTCTTATTGTTTTTTTTCCCTTTTTTATAGAATAGCTAAGAAAGGACTTTCATTAAGCAAGTCTTCGGGAGGAGCATCAATTCTAGATTTACATTCCGGAGCCGTATCTCAAGGTAGTTCGTTCGTCAATGTTTACCAGTAAGTGTGTATGCTTAAAAATATTAAATTTATAGTTTTTCCCAGCTTTAAACAATTTGCATTTCTGTTATAATTCACAAATTATATTTAATAATTCATTTTTTTTTTTTACAAACATTTGAGTATTTGTGAATTATTAACAACTATTTTGATGTCAAGTAATATTATTATGTTAAAAAATAAATAAAAATTAATTTGACAATTCAGATTTTATTTTTAAATGCATAGAAAAATTCTTACAAGTTTCATCATAGTCTGAACACCACAATATAAATTACAGCAATTGATTAATTACTATACTTTGTATTGCAATATAAGCTGCTCATTTAAATTTTTTCTTATTTTTATTCAAACGAGCAATTTTTGTGAAGTTTGAATAGGATAACAATTTAATCTTTGGCCAAAAGTCAGTAACAATTGTAATCTGTGTATCTTATAGAACAAAAATTTTGTAAAAAGTCTGTATAGCACTTATTCTTTGTCAATTTTGGCAATCCCTAACTTGAAACTATTACATCTCTTAAAAATTATCAATTGTGATTTATAATTTCTTTTTGATAAATATATTTACTTGATGCATCTTCTTTGATTTACAAATCAGAGAGTAAAAAATCTTTGAAATTACATATGTATTTAGAAATAAAGTCATCTAATTTTGTTTGGTCTCTTATCAAATGACTAGAGAGGAATGCATATACAGGTAGCCCTCGGTTTACACTGCAGTTCTGTTCCTACAAAAGCCAGCATAAAATGAACCTATAGTTACACTTAGGTATAGGGTTAGGTTCTACATACGTGAAAAATACGCAAATAATTTTGTTTATTAATACAATATAATACAAAATACAAATAAAATACATTTTAAAAATTAAATTTATCATAAAATACAGTGAAATCCTTTTATTAAAAAATTTTAGTTTTGGATCTCTTACATTTTTCGGAAAATTATCCATCTATGTTTACATTTTTGTTTTCTTTCATTGAGAATTTCAGAATATGGTCGAATGGATGCGATGATGCTCCTTTTTACATTTGCACTTCACTCTCAATCATTGTCTAACTCACAAAGTTCATCCATCAAACTTTCCATAGTTGAAAGGATACGTTAACCTGGTGTAGAGCTATAGACGAGCGGAGACACTGATTAGTTGACCACCATAGCTCATATATAAGGTCAGTTTGAGCAGAAAAATTGAAGGTGGCTAAGGAGAGATAGCTACTTCTTGTCAGCCAGACGATATCTATCATCTGGCCAGTGAGAAGTAGATTTGTCTCACTAACGATAGTTTGTGATCGCTGGAAGTGCTACTGCTTCGTAAGGTGTTTTCTTGAACGAACTGATACGGGATACATTCGTTGGCACTATGGATTCGGATGCCATTTATTGGACTATTAAGTTTAATAACTTGACTCGTGGAAACCTAAACGCTTAGTATTTTAATATTAATTTAATGCAAATGTATACATACCTAATAATATTAAACAGAAAAAAATAAATATATTCAATAAAAATCTTTGTTTTAACAAATGTACAATGTTGCGGCTCGGTAAATACATCAGCACTGAAATGAAAATCAGTCTGGCATAGGGAAAATCGGGGAATTACGCCGCGAAACAGCAAATTGTGCAGTGGCATTATTGTGAATCAGCGTAAATTGAGCCGGCGTAAACCGAGGGTTACCTGTATATGTTTGACAGAAACAAAACTCAAAAAAAAAAAAAAATTGTGGAATTGTTACAGAAGCAACTCTTCGTCATTAATGAAATTGAAAAGTTACATAATTTTAATTATACAAAAAGTTGTTGGTTATCACTATAATTTCTTGCAATTACCCTTGTTTAAAAATTGTTAGTCAAAATAAAATTCACTTATAATTGTAGGAAATAGTTAAGGTTTCAATGGTGTTAGACAATTGAGCTGACAAGTTGGGATAGTATCTTGCTAGCAGCTAGTTTCTACCTGTTCCAGACTATGTAGATATCTGCCTTCTTTTCAATGGGTACCCAAGAGTATGGGATTGTCCGTCTTGACCAGGAATAGGGAAGGGCTGTACACACTTTGATGCACTTTTGTGGCATCCTTTGAGGAGACTCCTTTAATTTACAATTTAAATTTATTAAAAAGTTATAATTTTTAAATAAATCCCTTAAACAACAGATTAAAGAATAAAATTTATCTTGTTTTTTATAGATTAATGAAAGAAAATAATTTGAATGTTTTTACACATCAAGATTTCCAAGTATATAGGTTTGAATTTTTTGATTTTTAATTTTAATGATGTAAAATTTCAATATTCTTATGACTAACACAAATTATTCTGGTTATTATTTTTATTTAGAAATGTAAAGAATAAAATAAAAGAAATTATTGCTTTTAAATTTGGGATTATACCTCAGTATTTATATCTCACACATCCGACGTTTTTTTCTCAAATGACAAATCGTCCGCCAAAAACCGTTCATGACGAGTACTGGCACATCCACGTCGATAAGGTATGGCTTTCTTGCATATCATAAAAATAATTACTTATCAGTTTTTAATAACTATAATAAATTGTTAAAAATTTGTATAATATAATTACAGTTTCATCCTATTTATATGGAATAGAATGGAACTGTCTTCAGTCATTATTAAATTTTTTCTAATGTAAACAAGCAATTATTTTATTCTGACATTAAAAATTGTAGCCTGGCATTGTGACAATGTTCTCCACCTCAAATTAGTAGTGTCTTGCCCCTGTACATAATACTTTTCCTGTTTAGCAATAGAGCTGTGCCAGTCATCTTTAACTCCTTTCAGGGGAAATTTTTGAATTGAAATAATGTGACTTCTGGTGCAAACCAGAAATCACATTATTTCAAACTTATACATAATTATAACATTTGGTGTAAACTTCTGGTTTGCACCAGAAGTTTGTACAGTCGACCCCCCTATAATTACGGTCCCTATAATTACGATTCCTATAAAACTACGAAAAAATTGTGACCGGTATCCGTAAAAAACAGTAAAAAACCCCCTATAATTACCTCAAACGTCATCGGGCAGCCAAACTACTTTCCCGCCGTCCGTAGCGCCAACTACGGAGAGATTTCTATCGTCTGGACAGTATTATATATTAATTATATATAAATTATGTACTGTATATATAAATATATATTAACTTAATTTATTGTAACTTTATTATAATTATATATATTTTTTCCGCCGCGTGGCGTTACGCTACGGAGATTTTACGCTAACTATCGTCTGTACAGTATGTAAATTAGCTACCGTAAGTCTAATACAGTACTGTAATTTTATACATTTCTTGTGAAAGAAACATTTCTTATTCAACGGCGATTAAAATCTATATATATAAAAATGAATGTATGGT